ATGTTTTGGCTTAACAATGAACATTAAAAAACATGTATTATGTCACTCGTACAGCTCAAGCAAGATCCAGCAAGACGAATCATTAAAAATCAACAAGTTAAAACAATGTCCATCGATATTTCAATTCGAAATCAAACAATCGAAAACGTGGGAGAATTCGCGTATCTTGGATGTCGCGTTACACAAGCTCAATCAATAGAAAAAGAAATGAAAACAAGAATTACAAAAGCATCAAGGACTTTTAATATGTTACGCCACGTTATTTGGTCTAGAAAAATAACGTCTCCATACAAGCTAAATTCAAAATACTTTGTGTCTGCGTTATACCAGTTTTGTTGTACGGAAGTGAGGTGTGGAGCTTGACAACATCTCAAGAATGACAACTTATGACCTATTATCATAAATGCCTACGCACAGTCATTGGCATTAGCTTTAACGATAGAATGTCCAACGAACAACTGCTGAAAATAACTTGTCAAACTGATCTTCTCGATATTCTAAGGCAACACCGACTCCGTTGGTTTGGACATATTAATCGAATGAATAATAGTAACAGCGAACCATCACTAGTTAAAAAATCAATATTTAGTTACTACTCGTGTTCGAAGCGGCCTCAAAATGTTGGTATCCGAAAGAGATGGCAAGATAAAATTACAGATGATGTAGAAAAATGGCAGATTCAAAACTGGTGACGTCAGACACTTCATCGAGATCAATGGCTTCAGATGATCAACAGACATGTGTTATTCAAACCACCATCACCAAATATTCAGAAAATTGTTCAAAAATTTAAACAACAAACACTTTTGAGAAAAAAAGCAACAATAATAAAAACATCTCATTCTCGACCAAAGATAACAGAAATGATTTCTCAAAATATAAACGGTACCTACACATGCCCAGGATGTAAGAAGAATTATAAACCACAAGAAATAATCAACCACTTTAAGGCATATGCGAAGTTATGGTGTAGAAAAAAACAATACCCACATATCACTTAGCAGTAATCGCCTGAACGAAGAAGTTATGTCTCATACATCATGTGCACAATGATGGGTATCATTGAAACCAAGTTATCACAGCCTGGAGATGCTATTCAGAACAACAGTCCAAATGCACGGGACTATCGACAATCACATGGAACATTCACCAAGTGGACATCATTGTATCATTAAAAGTGCAGAAAATCTTTTGTCTCATTTTTCACTCCTTTTCTTGCAGTTAATTCTAGTGTCTGAAAAACTCTTCCTTTTTTCTTTTTATTATACTTAATCCTGATGTGTTTGATTTTCACCCCTCACCAAAAAGTACGGGTATTTAGATTAAAAAAAAAAGACTCGATTATCAATTGTATGTGAGAATAGGCATTAAAATTTGTTTGTTTTATAGCTTTTTCTCTATCTATATATACGGATACTACATAAGATGGGTTTCAAAATATAACAATAACGCAACTTTTTCTTTTTGATACCTATTGAGATATAAGCGCTCTGTTTTTATTTTGTGTGCAAGATTCATTGCTTACAAATCATTCATGCATATGATTATATGCGCAACGTAAGCATCTTGTGTAGAGCCTTCGCGATAGAACGTGGTCGAAAAAAAATCGGAAAAAGGAAAGAAAACTAAACACAATAACAAACGATAACAAGCTTATAAAGTTGCCTCGGTGGAAAGGTAAAAAGACAAATTATTCGATAAGACAAGCAAGCAGTGTTGCATATACATTTACAAGCTTAATCAACAAGCCGACAATATAAAAATTTTCTTCTTATATTGGGTTTTATTCATTTTATTTGGTGAGTAACTTATTAGAATGATTTTATAAGCAGAAAAATAGTATTAAAATGACGCTCTCGTAACGTCAATATGATCTGGACATCAGATGCGATTGAGACATAGATGAAATCGATTTGAATGATCATTTCATATGTGTTTTTTAGCTAGTGGTCTTCTTGATTGAGTTTGCTATCTTTTCTTTTTTTTTGCTAGTGCTTTGCATCATCTTCAGTTAATCAATAGACAAACGCTGAACCATCAGTGTAGTGTAACTAAGATTTTGATGATAAAATGTGTAGAAATGCTATCCACACAATAAACTGTCCATGTCTATGTAGATGAAGGCAAAGAACTTCGTACTCTTTAGTAGTGTCTCAAAGTCAACCTAAAATTCTTCCGGTCATGCAGCAATGAAGATAAGTGCGACTAGAAGAAAAAATATGGGCTATAATACAAGATATCAACTTAAAGCCGTAATCTTTTGCATTACACAGCAAAGCGTAAGCGAGAGGCCTGATGGCTTTAATTTCCTTAGGGCATACCAAAAGTAAGGGCAGTCACACTCTAATACCGTATAGTAGACTTAAAGAAAGTTTCTTTCTATATAGTCTGATAGAGAAAAAAGCTCTATCTTTCCATGCGATTTGATCATACTTCAACTGATATCAAAATAATAAACTTTCTATAAGATCTGTTCTGTTCGCATGTGTCACGGTTCTATGAATATTAGTGAGTATTTTTCGAATAACTTTTGATAAAAACAAGATAGAGAACTTCGATTTTCACCATTGGAAAGGGAAATGAAGATGCATCGAATCATATATTGTAGGTTTTTCTAATATTGATTTCTGAAGTATTTTTATTCAATTATTTAACAGTCGGGAAAATGTTTTTTATGAATAAAAGGAAAAAGCACAAAAGTGAGCCTTTCTCACAGAATTTACTACAAAATAGTATTAGAGACTCGACTGAAGTGATCATTATTCATCTCAGTCTTCCACACTTCTTTCATCTTCGATTACTAGTCTGAATTTATACTTGATAGTGGCAAATTCACTGTAAACCACTTACCATATAAGTTTGTTCTTACAAGGATCAATTGAAAACCTTACAAAAAACAGATCAAGAAAATCTGGAATACATGATTCGATGCGTCTTCATCACCTCTTTCCAACGGTGAAAACCATAGTTCTCTATCTTGTTTTTATCAAAAGTTATTCAAAAAATACTCACTCATATTTTGTAAAATAAGTATTGATATAACCCTCACATATGATAACGAAACACATCTTATCGAAATTTTATTATTATGATATTAGTTGAAGTATGATCAAATAGCATAGAAATATAGAGCTTTTTTTCTCTATCAGACTATATAGAAAGAAAGTGTCTTTAAGTCTGCTATACGATATTAGAGTGCCACCCCACCCCCCTACTTTTGGTACGCCCTAAGTAGTAGTTATCTGCAAGTATTTCCAAGATAAATTAAAAATTGACCGTGATTGGGTGTGAATGTAGGTGTCAATGATCACGGCTTTTTTGGTAGGTACGGATGAAGAGAAGACTCTCCTTGACATCTATATTTACTAACACAACAAACATCCATACACACATATGCATCGATACCTCGGATCCAATGACCAAAGCTTTTGCAAGAACTCTTTAAATAGCACATAAAAAATTTAGCGAAGATGGATTTCACAGTAGTTTACTCAGTACCTATGTAAAAAACATTAGACGAATAATCAGATTAAAATCGATTATAATCAAAAGTAATCCAAAAAACTTCATTTTCTTTGATTATTTCTACTATTTTCGATCATAATCGATGAAGATCTAAGAAATTTTATTACAAATTTTGCCACTTACTCTGAAGGAAAACCGATTAAAATCAATATTTTTCACACAATTTTTAATCGATTATAATCGGAAATAATAGAAATAATCGATGAAAATTAAGTTTTTCGGATTATTTTTGATTATAAACGATTCGTGATCCATTAAAAACCGATTAAAGGCGTACGGTTATAATTGATTTTCATCTGATTATTCATCTATTCTTTTTACATGGGTAGGATCAACATAGGTCAATTCTGATTCGGTTCGCATTTCATCCAATGTCAAACTGAACATTGGAAGTAGAATGGATCGAACTCAAAATAAATGCATGCGTTAAATGTGTCAAAAGAATTCCAAAAAATCTATTCATTTGAGGCTAACTGTAAATAGTCTCGTTTCATTTGGTGCGATCATTTAACTTGCGCTAGTCCGTGTAGCGATATACATCATTGTAAATAAAAGGGGATTGCAATTCATCAGTATGTCACTAGTTTGGCTGCTAAAATCAGACATCTATTGTCGGCGCCAGAATTAAATAGGGGTGGGTGTAAGCTCAATAACTCGACAACCGCAATAGCTAGCGATCTGCGGTTTTCGTCAATCGAAAGAGGAGGAGTTGGGACGTCTTTTTCTCTGATAATGTATAAGACGAAATCCTTTTAAAACTAATCATATTTGAAAAACATGCAAAAGAACCCATGAAAGTGATCNTCTACGAAATTACTTCTGATTTGCCACGAGGCAGTAATTTATTACGTTTATTCGACCAAAAACGTGTTAGCTTCTTCATCAAATAGAAACAATATAGAAGACTTTTAATCGCTATAAAAAAGCACATTGGAGTGTCAAATGTAATAGTTCATGAATTCCATCAATTTAGAGCAGTTCATTCATTCGATCAGACATATGAAGTGTGTAAAGCCATATTGTTAGAGTGATAAAAAATAATACTGGAACATGTCGAGTATATTTTCGCTTGATTTTAAAGAAAAAGTTTAACATTTTTCGTTTTCTTGAACAATATAGACATTGACACTGCCATACAACTCCATGTTACACGAAGAAAAAATTAACTTTTTTTTCATAAAAAGCATTTATAATTTTTCTTCGAATTTTTTTCGTTTGCTTCAATGTGTCATTTATTTATTTTGAGACACGTTCTTATTTTTTGTTTGTTTTTCTTTCTCAAATAATTATTTACAATTGGATAAATTTCTTTCTATTAAAACATGTGCTAGAATGAAAATCAAGTTTTATGCTTCTTTTGATTTTCATTTCAGACGAGTGATCCACTTAAACGTATTGCTATTATAGGTAGTGGCAACTAGTATGCATTGAAATATTTTAAATCATTATAACATTAATTCATATTTTATTCATTTATGGGTTCAATAATAGCTAAAAGAGTTGGAACCGATATACTTAAATTTAATACATTTGAAAAAGAAATTCGAATATGTATTTATGAAGAAATCACAAATGGTCGAAAACTTACAGAAATTATTAATCAACAACATGAAAATATCAAATATTTACCTGGTCATAAGCTTCCACATAATGTTGTAAGATGAAAATGTCAAAATACTTTGATGACTATCATTGAGTGTGAACGAGAAAAGAAAAAGACTAAAGATCTAGAATTGAATGTATGAAATGTTAAATATTTAAATAATCATGCTTTATATTTGTCGAATTATAACACAAAAGTTAACTATATTTTATTCAGATAGCTTATCTCGATGTTGTTGAAACTGTAAAAGACGCTGATATATTACTATTTGTAATACCACATCAATTTATTGAACGAATATGTAATGCAATTAAATCACATGTAAAGAACATTGCTTTTGCTATATCTTTCTTGAAAGCGTGTTTGTTTGTTTTTGCTTATTCAATTCAATAGATCATTGTTTTCATTTATTTATTAGAGTTTTTATGTTAGTAAAGACAAACATGTTGAACTTCTTTCAACTGTAATTAGTTGTTGACTTGACTTATCTTGTTATGTATTAATGGGAGCTAATATAGCTTGTGAAGTTGCAGAAGGAACATTTTGTGAAGCAACAGTTGGTTCACGAAATTATGAACATGGACAACTAGTTAAAAGTCTTATTCAAACAAATGAATTTCGTATTATTATTAAACCAGATAAAGAAGTTATTGAAGTTCTTGGTGCACTAGAAAATATTGTTGCATTTGCTGCTGGATTTTCTGATGGATTAGGTTATGGTAATAATACAAAAGCTGCTGTTATTCGTCTTGGGTTAAAAGAAATGGTAGAATTTTGTAAAGAATTCTTTCCTGGTCAGTTTAAGTTAAATGTCATATTAAAAAAAAATAATGAATAATTCTATTTTGAGCACATCATCCAGAAATATTTTTGAAATCATGCGGCGTTGCTGATCTTGTAACAACATATTATGGTGGTCATGATCGTAAAGCAGCTGTAGCATTTGTCAAAACAGGAAAAGATATTAAAACACTTGAAAAATAAATGCTTAATGGACAAAAAATTACAAAGATCTGATGCAGCAGCTGAAGTTCAAGAATGGCTTAGATAAAAAGGACAAGCAAATAAGTAAGATTTTTTATATGAATTATATTAAAATGAAATTATAGATTAAACCATTTCGGGCACAATGGAACATATTCATCTTTCCTTTAGTTCTTTGCCAGAATTATTTTTCTGAAAAATGCTTTTTATTAAAGGCTAATTACCGAATATTCCTCTAACTATACGAGAAAAAAATTTCAAAAAGTTCAGAGGATTTGTACCATTCGAACTTCTCAATTGGTTATATGAACCTATTTTCGTTATAAAGATCTCGAACACTGATTCTTTTTAGAATATCTAAAGTAGTTTAACACACATGTAACATATAAAAATTAGTTCTAGAAAAGTTTATTATCCTGAGACACATGTGTTTTAAATTTCCTAAGTGATGTCTCTAATGAATGATTTTGCGTATATATATATATATATATCTATTTTTTCAATAGATTTCCATTATTTATGGCTGTACATGAAATCTGTGAACGACGTCTTGAACCCAAGGCTTTGATTGATGCTCTTCGTTATCATCCAGAAGTTTGATAAAGAAATCAAATAGTCAAATGTATATCAGTTACAACAACCAACAATTGTTATTCTATTGTTTTTAGTTTATTTGATTAGGTTTATTTTTCTATTCAGCTAGAAGTCGTAAAACTTGTCTTTTTTTCTTTGTGATGATCATTATTTAGTTTTCTTTTTTAAATAAGATCTGCATCTTCTGATGTGAATGAATGGATTGTTTGAAACTAAAATATGTTAAAAATAAACATGTATGACATGACAAAATTCATCATTTAAACTTTTATATTAGAGTGGAGCAAAGATTGTTCAGTAAACTAATTTATTTTCTCATATTTTAAAGGACAATAAATCATATTTAGTTAGATAAAATCTTGTCAAATGTTTGAATTATTAGTTTTTGTTAATTTGAATGTCTAACAATTTCTATGTTCAAGAAACGAGAAAAAAATTATACAGAAGTAATAAAATTTATGCAGTGTTGTTATAAACTATTCATATAACATTTGTGAGTGAACAAAGATATCGCTGCCAGAAAAAATTTCAGCTTTATATCTTTTTCTTGATGGAAGCTAAGATAATATTTGATATATTTATGATAGCCATTTTGTGGTTTCCAGCATCTTCAACGGCATACTATCATCTCAACTGAAAAGTCGATTCTTTTCAGAAGACACTTGGGTATAGCCACTCTCATCACCATGTACTTAATTTTCTATTTTCTCTAGTCTTGAAACAGACATGAAATCAAAAATATCTCCATAAAATTGGGAATTTTTTGAAATATTTTCTGCGCAATAACCAAATTTAAACTGATATAAACACAAATCTATGATGTATTACTTAGTGTTAACAGTACTCATGACACTTGATCAAATGAAGTTCCAGGGCACTGAATAAAAGTCGATATCTATTTTATTTTATTTTTGGAAATCGTCTTTTTGACTTAATGATTGTATGGGTTAAAAGAGAATAGCACTCTGAAACTCGCATGAGCATACACTGATACGCTAAACAGTAGACTATCTGATCATGTCGTACCCTACAAAAAAAGCTATTTTTAGACGAAAGTTGACTTTCTTTGATGGAAAAAAAAACAAAAATTCGGCATTTTTGAATGGCAGACGGAAAGAGCTTAATGGAAAGAAAAATTGTATATGTGGGTTCATAGGAGAGTGACATTTATGAAATGACATAAAAGAAAGAAAAAGAAAGTTTTTTTTTCTATATATCACTCCAAAAATAGAATCGCATTAAATGATACAAAAAACAGAGGCCATTGACATTAGTTACAGCTGTGACATGCATTAACAATAAAGTTAGATTGTCTGAAGAAACATCATTCGTTTAGCAAATGCCCATATAACATATTAAGGATCACATCCGTGTAGGAAAACTGATTATTCATTATACAAGAATGTCGCCTTCGATAGAAAACACACCATTTATCAACGAAAAAGAAAATATTGAACAAGTTTTAACTAAGAAATTATTCTGCACTCGCAAATATCTTCTTATACTTGTTACCACTCAATGGGTCAGTACAAACAATCAGTCGAAAATTCTTTTTTATAATGTAGTTTTATTTATCAAAAATTTTAATAACAAAAATATTTTTGTATAGATTTTATGCATTATTAATCTTGTTATACTTATTTATTCCGTAATAACGAAAAATGAAGATAATATTTCAAGCAGAATCAAATCATCGATACCTTTATTCGTTTTAACAATTTATTATACATTTGGACTCTTAGTTGTTTATAAATATTATCGAATTGGAGTTCTCGTTGTATGTTATATTAGATTTTTAACTAATTTTTTGCCTTTGTCATAATTTTAGTTTGCATGGATTGGAGCTCTTTTATTTGTAGCAGCATCTCTTTTTATCGGCTGGATCTTCTTCGTTATTATGATACTCATTGCACATTACAATAGAATGAGCATTGTGTTTGAATTTCTCTTGAAATTTGGACTTACATTTGGTCTTTTTGCTGGTATTGTGGTAAGATATTTTCATTACTATCTACATAATCTATGTATTAATAATAGATTCTAACTCTTAAACTGGCTTTCAATTTGGCAAAATCAATTAAAATGATTGGATATACAAATGTTTAAAGCCCATTCCAGAAATTGATTTCAATAAAAATCCATCATCATAAAAAAATATCCATTTAACTTAAAACATATTGTTTTTATATCTAATGAACAAATCTATAATCATAGAAATGAACTCAAAAATAAATACGTCGTCATAATAATTTTTATTTTCGAAAGTCTATTAAGAAAATATGAAGAAACACGTTCTTTCATAGTTAAATGATAATTTAATAAGTTCTCATGATTAATCAAATTCATGATCTGAAAAAATAAATATAAAGCATGTTACCTGTTATCTACATAATTTATACGTATTCATTAAATTTATTATATCAATGGCAATTCTGTTGATATGAAAATGTTCTTATCTCTTCGAATGGACGAAATAAATAGCGAGGAAATCTCATCAGATGTCTCTTTTCGATTTCAATGATTGTTTTTGTCTATCGATACTACATAGTGTTCTAACAAAAAATCTAAAAGCATTTGTGTTCCTATTGAGATTTGACTAATTTATCAATTTTTTTCTACAGACTCCGAATTTTCAGAAAACTCATATTTTCAAATTATGAACTGAATCTTTGTTTGTACGTATAAAAAAAATGCATGTTGTAAACATTATCCATGGAAAAGGATCTCAATATTGAAAATTAGCAGTCATTTTTCCTATGATTTCATATTGAAACAATATTTTTGCGCCTTCAGTAAGATTGATATATGTTGGTTGAAAAACGGCGTAGAGAGCTAGAAGATGTTCCATCTTGTAGAGAATTGTGTGTTCTGTCATTCTGTGTAGCTCAATCAAAGCTCTATTGTCTTCGAGGATAAAGTTCTGTACACAAATCACTATTTGGATTCTTATCAATGGCTAGGGCAATGGAAAAAAATTAAAAATGTACTTGAGTGAATAATTTTAGGAGCCACTATGCATATTTGAAGAGATTAAAACATTTTGACTCAAACTAACTGCTTCTGGCTCTAAACAGATGCATTTAAGTAGTTGAAAAATGAGTGAATATTTTTTTGTATCAAGAATTCCACACCATATGTTAATTGAAGTCAAATTGAAGAGAAATGAAGTACAAAACAAAAAGGATTCATTTTAGAATTCAATGTTTGTAATGCAGATAAATAAGTAACACGACGTTGAATTCGCTTTTCTTCATGTTTATCATCATTGTCTTCATCTATGCAACATCAATAAATAGAATCATAAACACTTGTGCCGATAGTTTCAAACAAAAACAACAATCATAATGAGCAATTTAAATGCTTATGTGTTTTTTTCTTGTTACAATAAGTAGCTTGTCTTGTTCATTCATGACTATGCGTTCATTTAATCATTAATCCGTATCAAGACAAAATTGAAGGATTAGATCTATAGAATGAAATTGAAAACTTAAAAATAGTCATATTAAATAACATGAATGTCCGATAAACATAGCATATAAAGACTAAAATTAATTTCACGTACAGTTTTATTTTTAAACATAATCATATTAAGAACATAATTGAAAAAACTTGCGACAATAAAGATTATAGTTAATGCGATGTTTATTTATATCTCTTCAATGATTGATGTATGATACGAATATGATGCTCTGGGAGAGAAGCAAATGCTAAATAAAATCTGCTTGTACTAAATTAATTTCATGGAACATACAAAAATTAACATTTGTCGACAGTCTACAATATCTCGGCACTTAAATCTAAATAATTGAATGTCATATTATGGTTAACATGGAACGAATCAATGCTTCATCTTTGAAATTTATTCATTATAGATTTTTACAATGGCATCGTTAAATATTTATTCTTTTTCACAAATTCAACAAAAACAAAGTGAATTGATGGTGACCAGTAACATATTAGGAAAAGTTGTGATATGGTAACAGTTCATTTGCTAGTAACTTTTATTCAATAAAACAATAGAAGAACGAAGAATTTGTTTCGGCACCACATTTGAATTCTCATCATATATATCATAATAGATATTTCTTTTTCTACTTGATTAATTTGACTTCATGTGTACATGTGATATTTTTATTTGTAGTTTCTCAAAAGAGATACTACTAAAAATAATATACAACCATTGAGTTATATAGATTGTAGATTTGTTTGTAACAAAACGTCGCTTATTTTTCTTTTCATAAAACTAGTTATTGAAAAATATAAAGTAATTAAATCTTAGTCATTAATTGTTGAGCACAATCAAATGTCTCAATAGCCTGGCCTAGGCTAATTCATTATTGCGATAGGCAGAATCTTCAATAGAATATAACATTTTCAAAAGATGTTGTGTACTTCTACTAAACTTCTTTTTCAAAAATCCCATGTGATTCTGCCATTGACTAAAACATTTCTGCAATGGACAGCAAATATATAAAGCTAAATAAAGGAAAATAAAATAAATTGTCGTCACCTTATTGAAACAGTAACCATCGACATTTGATGTTATTATTAAAAATGAAAAAGCAAACACATATTTTTGTTGAAAAATTTTTCGTATTCCAACTAAAAAATGAGAAAATACTGATGATTTCGAGAGAATTGAAGGTTTTACGAGTGACTCATGGATGAGTCCTTTTTTAAGAAAAAAAATCATGGACCTAGTCGGATCGGAAGTCAATAATCTATGGGTCAACTTTCTTTGACCTAGACTGTTGAGATCTCTAGTACAGATCTTAGAAACAATCATTAGTTTATATATTGACTGGCTGATATGAATTTATCATAGCTTTGAATATTGTTGTATTCTGAACTCGTCAACGTTGAAGTTTATTTACTTTTGAACAATCTTTAATTGATCAAGATTATGTTTCAGCCGCTTTTATGCAGATTAAACGAACAATTATAGATAGCGTTCTTTCTTTATTATTCATGTGTATATTTTCTAACTTTGCCGTCTCTTGCTTGAAAGAAACTAATAGTTTCAATAATACAAGAAAAATTGATGAGTGTTATTTAAACAGTTACAAATATTCGTGATATAGTGCTGATAATGATAACAATGTTCGATATTAATTAGCTATTCATTGAGATAGACACAGAAGAAATAAGCAGCTCAAAATACATTAAATAGTGCTGTTAATCTTTAAATCGTTTTAGGGATTAAATAGCAATCCATTTGGAGAAATTAGCAATAAATAAATAGCTAGCCTTTTAATTAAAAGTAAGCGTATCGCTACAAAATTATCACCTTTCTTTGTAAAAAAAAATTATACCGCTTTTGAGAATAAGCCATTTTTATTCCATATATAAAAGAAGAAACATGTGATAGAATATCATTACGTCAGGAGAGTAAGATAAAAGAAAGTTGATGAATCTTGGTATGTGTTCTGATTGTAAGTCATTGATTGTTTCGTCCTTTTGCTACACTCACTAGGGAATTACCGATTCAATGTTAAAAAGAAAAATTCATATCCTTGAACAATATTTCGACTGACGCGGAAATCTAAACTCAACTGATCTGAAACGATTACAAAGCTTCATATTACTGTAATCAAGTTTGATTTTTTTGTTCGCCGTAGTTCGTCATCTCATTTATAGGCTATTTTTATCGTTAGCAAGTAACTACCATTTCTTTCACTATTTTCAGTGTTTTATGAATTACGAAAAATGGCGATGTTATAGTGCTGGTTTTTGTCGATTCTTTTATCATTTAAAGTTCCTTTTTCTTTAACCCGAAATTGAACGGATATGCTTACACAATCGATAAACCTAAGTATATTTATTTTTTAAAAATAAGTTCTCGAAAGTATTAGGGAATAAACATGTATTCAAGAATTTTTCTCTCAGTTTCCTTGATACTCCGAAAAAAAACCAACTATCTTTGATTGTTATTAGCTACCCGACCGATTTTGTTTAACAAGATAATAGTTAACTACATAAGATCATATTACATTGAACAATTGATGTTCATGCTTAATTATTATCGACTATCAATTTCATTATTGATAGCAGTGATGACTTGTTTTACGAAACACAATCTACCAGAAGTTTGAAATATATAGGATAGGAACTACTTCGATATTGCATTTTTGGATCAATTTTTCTTATATGAATCATCTCCAGACTTAGACTTTGGTCTTTCAAACAAAAAATACAGAAGTTAATTCGATGTTGTATTGTCCAGAAATAGAACCATTATTCAGATTATCTCACAATACAGCATTATTATTAGCATCTTCTCTTGAATGTTTTCGTTTTTTATCGACATTGTTGATGTACTAGTCTTTTTTGTCTCTTCTCAATCGTCCAATTGGCGAAGGAAATAATTCTCTTAACTTAACGTTGATAAATTTCTATATATAAATAATAATGGATTTCTTTTATTAAAATGTACCTGAGATGAGAGTTTTTCTCAAACATAAAAAATTAACTTATAATTGAAATTTTGAAAGCAATACGGAAATCGAGAAAAATCGTTCGCGTAGGACACGACTTAATATCGACATTATCTTTTTCATTCATAATAACCCTATTGATGCCTTGATAATAAATGAGAATATGATGTCATTGATAATTCTCCAGATACATCAGTTCAAATATAACTTGCGTCAGCATGCGATCATATATAATTAAAGTAACTTAAAAAAGATGTTCTGAACGTGTTCTGTTTGAGATAGAATTATTTTGGTCTACTGAATATACTTCAAAGAAGCAAAAACATTCAAATGTCATTAATTATTATAAGAATGAAAAATTTTTAGAAAGGAAAAATATCTAACAAATATCTATATTTGAATATGTGATGTCTGATTCAAATCGTTTCTTTTTCATTGGCCACATTCGGTGGAAGTAGCAAAAACAAAAATACCCCCGACATACAAATCTTATTTCCGTTCGAGCGAGAAAAAACCATCGGGAAATCAAAAGGACGTGACTTTCTAAAGACTATATTCACTAAAAGTGTGACTGACGCCAAGTATTTAAGTTCTACTCTTTTTCACAATTTTAATTCAATATAAAGGGTATCCCCATCAACAACACTGATAGAAAATTGTAAAATCTTCGCTTCGGTTCGCTTGAATTGACTAGATTTTGAGTTTCCGGTAGAGGATTACCCAAAGCTTCTTTTGCATACAGATGACAGAAACAAATAGAGCTGTCAAATTATATTTTCCGTCTCACCAAAGAAATTTCATTTATAGGCAAATAAGGAAAATACATATGTAGCGTTTTATAGATAACTCTCAGTTGTCATCTAAGAGAATAATAAGGGTAGGTCAAAATGAACTATATTGATATACACCGAGTAAGTATTCAAAACTAGTAGTCAATTTAAATGTTGAAAGTAAATGTTTAAAAAATTCGAAATTTTGTTAATCAATGACTCTTAAACTAACTAACTAGTTGTGAAAAATTTGCTCTGTATTCATCAATCTAGTATCATTCATACATATTTGTAATTTTTTCGTATTTTTCTTACTTGTGAATAGGTAAAATTAAACTTCTACTACTAACCAAAAGTTGAACTTATTTGATTGAACCGACGTGGAGATTTTTTCATTTTTCTTTATTGTAGTAGTATTTTTGGCTCACGCTAAACAAAAATTCTTGAGGTTCAACTGAAAGGTCGCGCTTTTAACCTTTCCTCTATGCTATAATTGGTAATGTTAACAAATCGTTGCAGATTTTTTTCTGTCATAAACATTCATAAAATATTTCATTTTTTTTTCATCAGGAGCTTTTGCAATTTTTAGAATAAATTCTACTGACAACAATCAAAAACAAGATTTCATTATGACGATTACCTACTGATTTGGGTGTGGGTCGTCTTCACAATTAAGAAAACGAGCTCAAGCTCAACTTGTTTTAAGTTCATATTTCTTACAATAGATATATTTTTATCTTCTGTAACGAATAAGAAACTCTTATTAGTGAAAAAAGAAGAAAGACATTATTCATTGAATTTATAACAAGGAAGTCGACATTATAATTGTCATGTCATCATCATCAACAGCAGAATTAATTATTTTTGCCTCTCAACAATATACAATCTATGTTAGTTTTATTATTTTATTTTCTGGTGTTTTCGGACATATTGCTAACATTTTCGTATTAACTCGTCTTAAAATTTTCCGTGGAAATTCATCTGCTTTTTATCTCATCGCAGAATCGATTGTTGATTTACTTCAAATGATAATATCATTCACATCTCGTATTGCAATCAATGGATTTGTTAATGATTTAACACAGACATCATTAATTTGGTGTAAATTAAGACCATTATTTGTTCAATCTTTTACTCTCATTTCACTTAATATAGTTTGTTTTGCTGCTATTGATCAATATTTATCAACAAGTTATTATCCATTTTTAAGACAAAAGAGTACAATTAAATTAGCTAAAAGGCTTACTATTATTGCAACTATAATTTGGGTCCTACATAGTATACCAGTTGTGTTCCTCTTTGAAATTCAATCAACATATGGATGTAATATATATAATGAAAATTTTAGAAATTATGTTACATATGTTTATTATCTCGTACTCACTGGTGCATTGCCGATCGTTGTTTCGACATGGTTCAGCGTTTTAGCCTATCGAAATGTTCGTCGGATTGTACGACGTCAAATGGCAATACGTCGACGAAAATTTGATCAACAATTAACAGCAATGATTCTTGTTCGAGTTGGTTTTTTAGTCGCTATGACATTACCGTATGTTTTACAACGGAGTTATACACTTACTACACTTATAGTCGAAGATGATTTGATGCGTAAATCCATTGAACAACTTATTGAAGCTCTTGCTTTTTCATTTTTTTATCTTAATTATTCGGTATGTTAAACTTTATAATTATATTTATATTATTTATCTCGATTATTTTAGGGTTCTTTTTATTTATTTTTAATATCATCAACACGATTTCGTCGACAAGTTAAACATGTTTTTATTAGCAAATGTTGGCGAGTATATTGTAGAAAGACAGTACGTCGTAATCAAATTGCAGCAATTACTCAAATTTCCAGTAGTGAATATGATTTACAATCAATTGAATAATATATAACAGATCATTATGTGATTATTATCTATGTAATGCTATTTAATACATAATATGAAATATTTAAATGACTTGCATTATATGTTTGCATTACGACAAAAAAAAACATTTCTATATTTTCCTACACCCAAATCAATTATTTACGAGCCCGAATTCGTGAAACTACGATGGGAATCGACCTGGATATTTCATCGTAATTTTACCTACTTGTTTTATTCAAGAATCAAAAAATGTAATTTACAAGAAATAAACAAGCAAAGGACAGTTCGAATGTTAAGAACATTTGTTGATTTTCTTTTGATTATGTTTATATATATATTTAGAAGAGATTAAAGTTATATTGGTGTATCGTCCTTATCTCAAGTGTTCTTTTTTTTTGTTCTGTATCTATTTTAACTTGAAGAGCTAAAAATAATAACTTGATTAGAATTAATTGTTCTTGTAACAGAATGATTAAATCGGTATAAACTTGATCTATTGTGAATCTACTATTACAAAAAGTCATTGGTATTTTTAATCAAATACACAGTGATAAATATAAATCAAATTTATCATATAATGCAAATACTCCAGACATCTACATGAAAAAAGCCAAGTGATATTTATTCTTTGAAATTAATTTTAGAGTTCATTAAATAAAAACTCAAAGATGTCTGGCTATTTCAGAAAGAAGAAAAACAATCACTGATGATTTCATATTAGATGAGAAAAATATAGAGATGAAATATTAATAATTATTCGCACAACAACAATCAACATGTTTGCTTTTGACAGATAGAAATAACACGTAACACAGAAGTCTTAAGAAAACATATCCGACTTTGCTGACATCTAAACCCATCGATTTGCTTCTTGTTGGCAAGAGTAATATGTGGACTACGAAGTTTGTAACACGGACTTTTTTTCGCAATGAAATCTTGTGTTGAAAGCTAAATTTACTTTTAGTGTTTATATAATAATATTGCTTTGATGGAAAAAAAGATAGAATAATTTTCTATTGCGTACAATTTCACCGTTTATTAATCGTAAGAAATACTTTCTGATTTACTTTTTTCTGCTACATTTCTATAATGAGATATATTTTGGATAAATAACTCAAAAACAACTGAGTTCATATATAGTTTCTAGAGATAATGGTTCACGTTTTTAGACAAGTGATTGATCTTGCAAAAAATCTGTCTTACAAAACTTTGTTTTTCAAACATTTTTTCATTAAAAAGTCAAGAACCTACAGAAAATATTCTGGTAACAAAGCTAGTATTGGAAGATATTTTGGTCCTCTCACAGATGTCCGTCGTGACTGGAAATCTGCCGTTTTTGTGATGGTATTCAAAAACAAAAGTTTCGATTTTCACTATTTTTACTGTATTTAACTAGAGTTTTTGTTACTAATCCATGATATTCATTTAATCACAGAGTGCTACGTTTGTGGACATATAAAGTCCATGCAAATTCATGCAGTTTTACAATGTCTGCCAGAAAAAAGCTGCTGCTGTCATGATGAAAATCTCCGAATTCACTACGTTTTAGTTTGTTTTGTTAAAAGCTTGATAAATGTAATACAAAATGTTTGAGAAATAAAGATTTTTCAAGTTGAAAAATAGTTTTTAAAGGTATTTAGTTTTTTGACTTTTAATGTTTTTCACAAGGCAAGGTTCCCTGGTGTTTTCCGAGGATTACAGCAAAACTACAGGAGCTTGTCAAATCAAGCACTGTTATACTAATTATAAAATAATTAGCAGCTGAGACTACTTTAATAAAAATTTGCAGTGAAAATAGTTTTTCACTAGTAGATACTTATATGTAGCCATAAACTTTTCTAAAGCACTTTGTCCGTATCTAGAAATGCTGTTCGATGATAGGTATCACATAGACGTTATGCACTGAAATGAACTGATTCAAAAAAAATTTTATCTTTATTGTTTAAATTGACTAAAAATGAGCGATGTTTTTTCGTGCACTGAACCAAAACATTAAGTCTAATATTCATTGTCATTGATTAAAAATGATTGTAGGACATAAAAGAGAAGTCATTGCACGTTGACACAGAACAGAAATCTTGATAAAAAAACACGCATACTGGATATGCTCAAAGTGACCAGGTTCTTTTGATAAACAGTCACTTGAAAATCGGTTCAGCAATCTTTCCACACTCGACACTATCATGCTGACACTTACGCACAAAATGATTTTCTTTTTGTTCTGATCATGTTACCAATTTTATTGCTGCCTATTGATTGTGTATCAAACAATTATTGAATTACAAACGCCAACAGCAGTACATGTATGCTCAGAACATGTTTTTCCACTCTATCGGATTATGTTTTGAAGAAAAAGGTCTACCGATAACCATTCTTTATTCTACAAGTCAACACATTAGAGTCATCAGAAGGAGAGAAGAATTGTAATCCAAAACGAAAAGGATTGTTAGAGGTACAAAATCTAGTGACAGAGCTACTTTGGAAGATGAAGTCGATACATTACTATTAGCGAAATAGTAAAATAAATATCATCAACGGACCGAATGAAGAGAGAAATATATCTTAATATGGATTATATCGATTTAATTTTCTTTCTTTCTGTTCTATGATATTCATTGCAGTTCTAAATGATATTTAAAACGAAACGGTCTAAGTGAGAATCTCTGCAAAAGCTAAGACTCAAACTAATTTTATAATTTCCACCTAGCCTCATTCAAGCAGTTTTGTAAATGTTTTCAAGTTGATTGATTCTGATAGAGAGTCAGTCTAAGTCAAATTCTTTCTAGCTATTAAATTCGAGAGAGCCTATCGTTTCTAAAATGTATCACTCATTCAATGAAAAATTCTTATCTGATATCAGACATAAAACGCTTTTTAATTGACAATTAAGCTATTGTATTTTGTTCGTATCTACTCAATCGAGTACTGTATTGCTTCTTTCGATATAATTCTTTTGTAATTTGTACAAATGCTGGTTGTATATCGAAAACTTCTATTTTCATAAAGTATATCTCATTTATGTAGTTGCGTTCTTATTGGTCTATTATCTACAACTATTTTATTCACATTTGCTGTTTTTGGTATATCTAAATGTTCGTCGTATTACATCTCTAGAGTTCTATTTATGTATTCTTGGCTATTATCGATAAATTTTTGTTCACAATTCAAGTATCTTCTATTAGACACAAAAGATGCAAATGTTGCTTAAAGATAGACAGAATCAATAATGTTTTGCATCGTCATCAAATAGTTCTTGTATCAAATCTTTCAATCTTACTAATGGATTAATTTAGTGAATGGTATTACTGTATGTTTCCTTCTTAGAAACAATAAATTTTCATTTGATATTTTTAACATATTCTATTTTTTAAAGACTTGTAATTAGATATCATCAAAGAAAATGACTTATTTCCTACTTTACTATAAATCTGTCATATGAGAAAAGGTCTATGGGAATAAATCTAATAGCATTGTAGAATAATATGTTAGTGTTTAGAAGTGCTTTCTAATAAAGCAGAATGATAACATGATAGTCATTTTGAAATTTTATGGATCATGAATAAATAAGCTAATAATACTTTATTCAATCTGAATCTTTAGTTTTCTTGACATAATTGAACCAGTGATAGAAAAAACTTCTATCAATGTGAAATACCAAACAATATATTCTTGATACTGACCAGGACTCCTAACAGAGTGAAAAAATTTTCCCTGTGCCCTGTCTTGCTTCCATTTTACTCTATCCTGATCTGTCCTCTGATTGTTCTACTCCGCTCTGTCCTGTCCTGTCTTGCCATTTTTCTGTCCTACCCTGGCTTGTCTTGTCAAAAAAAAATGCAAACGAGTGGCAATTTTCTCTAAAAATATTTTGCAAATAATTGAATGTATTATAGTCTTTCTTTATTTTTTTTCCCTTTCAAAAATACTGTAACATATAAAGAATGAAAATATTTTCTTTTTTACACTAACCAATAATAGTCTAACGCAAAAAAAATCACATAAGTGAACAAAACCAAAAATAAATTATAAGTGAACAGAGCGGGGTAACCACTTTTCGTCCTTGTTTTTTTTTACGGACATCGGTCATAGTAATTCGATCCGAACTTCGGTTCCTTTGAAACGGTCCGGATGTTCGGAATGAAAAGTCCGGAAGATCGGAATGAAAAAGACCGGATGTTCGGAACGAAAATCGTNTAGTGTCTGTTTTGAACAAGTGGTGTATGCTGACTAAAGAAGGTGGAGATATTACTTGGTTGTGTTTGAGACTTTCGCTAAGATGTTGTGCTCGTTGATGATCGATTCCATTGATAGATAATGACAGCGTGGTTAGTGTCTATGTGTGATAATAAGAAAGTTGAAATGATGAACAGGTTTGCGGTGGCAATCAAATCGGTGTTCAAGGAGCAGAATATCTTAGCAAAGCACTCCAAAAAAACCAAGTGATATCTCCACCTTCTCTATTTTTCATTCACTATCTGTTATAATTAGACACTAACCACACTGGTCCTCAATTATACTCTAATCGGTGATCAAGGTGTGCGCCATATTGGCAAAGGGCTTCAAATAAACCAAGTAATATCCAAATTCTCTCGCTATTATCTGCTGCATGTTCAAAAAAGACACTAACAACACTAGACATTAGTTACAATCAAATCACTGATCAAGGAGCAGAAAATATTGGCGAAAGTCTCCAACGAAATCGAGTAAAATCCCACCTTCTCTATTTATCAATCACTGGTTGTTCACAACAGACACTAACCACACTGAACCTCGCTCACAATCATATCGCTGCTGAAGGAGCACAACATCTTAGCAAAGCTCTCGAACAAAATCAGGTAATATCCTCACCTTCTCCATTCGTCATTCCGTGCCTATTGAAACAGACACTAACCGTTCTAGACCTCTGTGGCAATGGGATCGGTAATCAAGGAGCGCAACACTTTGGCGAAGCTCTCACACGAAACCAAGTAATATTTCTACCCTCTGTATCTATCATTCACTGAGTATTGAAACCAGAC